CATGCTATATAGTTTCAGAAGGGGGGTTGTGCATACACCATATACGACATCTCTAATGAGGTCATTATTTTCCCAGATCCAGGCAGTAAGGAAGATTTAGGATTTTAACATCTTCTCTTTTGTCACTTGAGTGTGACAAAGGCACATGGTGGCTGCAGAGCAGCCCAGCGCATGGGTCACAGCCGTTTTGCCCCAGGTCTCTTCCTTTCTGGCTTCCTAAGTGCTGCAAGCCTGGGAAATGCTACAACTTCAGGGTGTGGAAAACTTTTGTCCCATAGACATCCTTTAGTCTCCTGCAGAAGGAAGGCGCCTTTCTGACAAGCTTCAGGAAGCGAGCTCCACAGGACACTCGGGGGTGGGGCAGGGAGAGAACAAAATGTGGATGGGAGGTGGCAAAGGCAGCTGAGGACTCAGTTTTGCAAGCCTCAACCTTCAATTAGCTTTTGGTTTTTCTCTGGTTCTCCAGGTGGAGGAGGGGAAAGCATGAACAGGCCACTGAACAGAGGTACACAGGAAAGGAAACGAGCTCACTGTCCACTAAGAAGCCAAGTCTGGGAGCAGGGGGTGCATGATTAAAAGAAACTGATTTTTGCTGTATTGGCTTGACTTTAGCAAGGCTTTATTTGAGGTGCCCCCAAACTAGTTCCTAGTAGGAAAGGACTTTTCAAAATGATGTTTAGCTATTTTCAGTGATACTTGGCTGAAACATTTCCCTTAAAAATATAATTTTAAATACCTTCACAGAAGAAGCATTATTGTACAGTCAGTCAATAGAGGCTAGGCTTTCAGAAAGTGCTGTCCCAACCTTTCCCCAAATGGAAAAGACAGGGGCTTATGTCTCTCCTCACTAGGCCCCAGTGATGGGACATAAAAGCTACTACTTTGTCCTTCCTAGAACCTAATGCTATATAGCTCCCTGTCTGTGAGCACAAACAACCCCCGAAAAAAAACCTGCAAAGTAATTGTAAAGCTCTCTATGAGCTATTCTAGAAGAGTCTGACTGTTGCTTATGAGGATCTACAAAAATATATAGGCTAACTATGCAGATTTCTTCTTGCCTGGCATTAATTATGAAGGCAGGAAGACAGAGCAGGTGAAAAAAAGGTTCAAACAGAGCAGAGCTAATTAAAGTCCCAGCCCTCCGACTCACTAACCATTATCATTGATTAGAATAATCCCTAATAATAACACAAGGTGCCACCAAGGAAAAAGTGCTGACAGACAGGATGGCTCGCCTCAGCTGGACTCTCACTCCTTTTGCCTTATCAATCTCAAACTACAGTAGTCTCACTTTTCCATTACTTGCAGCCACCTGGGATCTGAAAATACCAAATGAAAAATTACAGAAATACACAATTCATAGATCTAAGAATACTTTTATTATATCATATTGTAACACTTGTCCTATTTCATTATTAATGCTATTAGTATCTTCCTGGGCCTAATTAATAAACTAAGCCTTATATGATAAAGCACATATACATCAGAAACAGTATATGTAAGTTTTGGTTCAATCTGTGCTTTTAGGTATCCACTGGGCATCTCTGTTTTTTTTTTTTTTTTAAGGACAGAAGACACATTACCACTTTATAGTTGGCATTGTAACTTGACCTTGACCACCACAGGAAGATAACAGGCCTTTTGTTTCTGTTTGCTTTATCTTGTTTTAGTTTTGAATGCTATATAGATTACTCCTTTGCACTGTAGTCCCCAAACTCCAAACTAAGTGTTTATCAGGGACAGATCATGATAAAAACAAGTAGTTTGAAAGATCCAGAGGTAAAACTAAGTTTAGAAACGAAAAAAATTCTCTCTCCCATTGGATTGCAATTCAAGTCATCCTATGGGTAGACTATGTGAATACTAAAATGAAAATCACCTTTCTCTCCCACTCTATACTCTGTAGAACAGGCTGATGTGAGGTGGGCCTTGTTGCCAGTCACATCATGGGGCCAGGTTTTGCTCTGATGTTCCAAAGTACTGGGAATTCAGCCTACTGATTTGGTAATATCCACCGAGGAAGGGGAAACATCTGAAGTTATTTTTACTTCTGCAGGTCTTCTAGCTGTATAGGGTGAATAGCAGGGTGGATCAAGTATTGTCTGAAGCCCTTCAGAATCTTTCTTTTTTGCATGGCCTCATTTCCGTCTTCCTGTTGCTAGGAAGGAGAGCCGAGCATGAGAAACTTGTGTTTACAATAGTGGACCATCCTGTCTAGAACAAGGCTCTCTTCAGAAGAGTCCAGTGTTCTTTGCTCACTGTACTTCGGGTGTCCTCATTTTTGGGAACCAAATCAGCCTTCCCTGAATATTTTCAAATTAGATACTTATGCTCCTAAGTCATAAAAATGCTGCTCTCAATTAAGCATTGCATCACAGTTTACAATCTCCATGGGGACATCCAGGGGAACTCAAGTACTTATTTTTATATTTAAAACTACTTGGAACCTCATCAAACCTCAGGCATCTTCCATAACCTTTAAGCCCCATAATAGTTCTATAATATGAGTTTAAATACTATATACCTCTTAAAATTCCCTTTAAATTATCAGCTTATTTCACCTGAAAGCATCTTTCTATTAATCTAATACATTTTCCAAAAGTATCCAAACACCTCCCACTGTAAAAATGTTCTTTTAAATTTGTTTGGTCTTTAGTCTTCGAACTACAACACCAAAAAACAAACAAAGGCCTCTGCTTGAAGGGCCTCACTCTTGCTCTAGAATCACAGGAAAATCTTGATTTTGGTCCAGTATATTAAAGTTGGAAATGTAGCCTTTGATTAGTGATAGTTCATTGCTTAACCATTTAAGTTTTTCTAAATCTACAATTGGAACGTTGAGATGCAAATCATCAAAACTCTTTCCTCATCCACTCCAGGGAGAGATTTAAATTGCAGCCTACTTATTCCACTTCTGTGGAGTGAGGAAAGCAAGCTGGCCACCTCCCCACCACGCTGAGCTTCCAGCTTATTTAGTGAAAGATGTCATTCAGCTTGAATTACAGCAAAATCAATTTTTGTCAAAAGCAAACTTTGACAAACAGCTGGGAGAGGGCCTTCTGCTCTTCAAGTAAAACTCCAAACCTAGTGCTAATGAAAAAAGCGTGCAGTCAGGCTTGGGCTGCCCTGTGAATCTGGCATGCCACAATAAAGCGAATACACAATTGCCAACATAGTCTCAGAAAACGTCTTGAAATAACTTTTGATCGCACATCTGCTAACCATTTGACACTCTTCCTCGGGACTCCAGCTCCTCCATGAGAGGGGTTGCAGCCTTCCCAGGCGCCCCTCTGACCATCTGCTGCAATCTGCGGGCCACGATGGCCCTGGGTGCCTCCCTTACCTCCATACTTAGGGCTTGCAACTTATCTTTGCTGAGGACCAGCCTGCAATCCAGATGGACGCTGAATTTGTCAACTTCTTGGAGCCGCTGATAGATTTACATTTGGGGAGCTGCCTTCTGCTGGGCTATTATTTTCCCTCATCCCTCAGCAAACAGCATTTTGGAGGAAAAAAAAATGTAATTTGAGACACTTTAGATCTGTGGGCTTTTTTCCTCTATCCATGTGCGTCATACATGCATTCCGCCAAGGATGGCAGTGTCTACACTGCGTTCCTCAGGAACACCCGTAAGCACTTGAGATAACTTCTGACTGCAGAAAATGAACCCATCTGCTGGCTAAGTTGGATGTAAAAAGACTCACTCAAAGCAAGACTGGGGACAGAAAAAAAAAGTCATGGGATAAAATTCTTTTGCTCCACACTGGAAATTAATGACTTTAGGCAAGCACCTCCTTGGCACTCATTAGCCTAAGTGAGGACTTAGCTGAATACCAAAACAAGACACCTTGGCAGGCACTTTAGTTGTACTAGCTCACTGATTCTCGAACCCTGTCAACAGTTATTACCCGTGTTGCAGGAGGGCACAGCCGAGGTCAGGCACCCCCTGGTTTTGCCAGCTGAAGACCCAGGATTCCGACCCTGCCAGCCTCACCCCCTCGCACCAGCGGCTGTACGCTTGAACCACGCGCAGACACACACGCACGCGGCAGGGTGGGGGTTTGCTGTGGCCTGAGACAGCTCCTCCCATAAGATCAAAGCCTCGGCCCTGACGTTGCAGGTGGGGTCAGGGACACAGAATGGGCAGGGTTCCAACAGGCCGTCGCCTCTGTACAAAAAATAAGTAAGGTCTGGCGACGAGCTTCCTTCCTTTCTCCGGCCCCGGCCTGGGGACTAGCTCCGCGGGGTCTTTGCCCAAGGGCGGGAGCATCTCCTGGGACTTTTCAGGAGCCAGGTCCCGGGCTCAGGGCACGGCAGAAAAGAGCCGCCTCCCCACCAGGAACCCCCACATGCGCGCCTACGTTCTCTAGGCACCGGGCAGTCACCAAACCCAGACTTTACTGGCTCAGTCTCAGTTAAAGCTCAGCTTTCAAATATTTCTTCAAAGAGGTCCGAAGTTAACCTTTTATGACTACCAAAAGTGCCACAAAACACTTGCCAGTGCTACTAACCTCTACAATGTTCCTGAAATCAACGCCGAAGTTGGACTTGCAGGCTGAAGAACCACGGTAACTCCCCCAGATCGGTCCCCAAAGAAAGGTAAGTAGCAAGGGCACCCCGCTGCGCCCGTCGGACCAGAGGCTAGCGCCTGGGACTTAGAATGCGAATAGCACAGCCGCGGACCTGGCGCCCCCAAGGGTCCCGGCGCGCCCCGAGCCTGCAGCCCTTCCCAGCTCACCCGGCGCCGGCCCGCGGTCCCCAGGCAATGCGCGGTTCAGTAAGACCTCGATCCAAACCTCCCTCTCCAAACTCCGACCTCTGCTTCTCTCACACGCAGGCCCTCCGAGCCCCAGAACTCAGGCGACTCCTACACAAGCGTTTCCAAAGCGAAAAACGGCAGTGCCGACTAGGCAAGGCCGGATGACATTTCCTCTGCTGAGCACGTCCCATCCGCAGCAAACGCCCCCGCCGCCCTCCAGCTAGGCTCAGGGCTGGCTTACGTGTTAGGATCATGATGTCTAGCTTCTCTCTGCACATCCAGGGAGGCGGAGGGCGGCAAGCTCGCAGGAGAGACGTCGAGGCAGCCGGAGGCAGCTCAGCTTCTGCGCCGGGACCCACGGCTGTGCTCGGGACCTGAGTCCCGGCGGTCCTCAGCGCATCCTGGCTCGCCTCTCCCGCCTCTCCCAGGGCCGCAGACGACACGCAGGTTTTTCTAGAGATTGCGAATAGGAGGCTCTCAGGGAGCGGGGAGAGGAGCCCTGGGGCGGCTGCTTTCGCTGCTATGAACCCCGGCCATGGCCAAAGGCTGAAAGGAAGAAAGCACCTCTCACCGCCCTCTCACCGGAGCGAACAGCCCGAGGCTCTCTCCGCCCGCCGCGCCCTCCCGCTGGGTCCACCCCGAGGGGAGGAGCGAGACCCGCGCCCCGCTTGGCCGAGGTCCCGGCCCCGCCCCGGGCTCCCCCGGCCCCGCCCTGCGCCTCCTCCCCAGGAGAGGAAAGAGAGGAATGTTCTCCCTCAACCTCCACGTCTACAGCGGGAAGCGACTAAAAGTGGCCAGCTATTGGCCCCGGGGCTAAGGCAAAGGCCAAGAGGTGTTTCCTTGGCGGAGGCGTCTCTTCTGGACGCTGGGACAACGTGCACTTTCCCTTTTTTTTCTTGGTGGCTCTGCGCCTTTTTTTCCCCCCCATCTCTCTTGGGTAGGCATTGCAAATGTTTGTGGTAGTGGAGGAGAAGTGGACAAGGATGGATCTGAAAAATGGGGAAAGAATGTGCCAGTCTTCTGGACATTTCATTATTTCTTGCTTGGTACGTAGCAAAGGCCTTCTGCTGTAGAGAGGGCTTGAGTCTTTAACTGACGTGTACAGAGAGACCAACTGTGGACAGTTAGAGTTAGTGTCTTTCAGACTGTGGTCTTGGGACTCAAACTCAATGCTATCCCTGGATCTGTTCTACACCAGGGCCGGAGATGAAGATTCAGTATATTCAGAGTCTCCTATGAATATTTATTAATTTTTGCCCTACCAGGGATAGAACTTGGGACCTTGCCCTTGCCAGGTAGGCACTTATGGCACTGAGCTCTCTCCCTGGCTCCTAGACTCTTCTATGGGAACTGCAATTTCCCCCTTCCCTCGGGTGACTCTGAGACATTGTAGATTTTGGAGGCTTCTCATAACTTAAGAAGCCTCATATAAAATATTCACAGTAGCGGGCTGTCGAGATAGCAGCACCACATGCTGCACCGGCCCAGCCCACAGGTGCGAGTCCAGGTGTGGCAGTGCACGCCAGTAATCCTAGCGCTGGGGAGGCTGAAAGCAGGAGGATCGCTACAAGTCTGAGCTGAGTAGTGAGACCCTGCACCAAATGCATAAAAGTGAAAAAAGAAAAAAAAGAAAATAGTCACAACAGAATACAATCATGGTGAGGTTTTCTAAAATTCCAGAACAGGATTTTTAAGAAAATGTACTTTGAAGTAAACCTATGATTTCTGCCTGCTATCTCTAGGCAAGGAAAACTGACCTAAACTCATTCATCTACAAAGAATGCATTTGCCATGTGCCCAATGCTTTTTCAGAGATAAAGCAGTGAAAAAGAGGCAAACATCCTTTTCCTCCTGACATTTGCTTCCTGTTTGCAAAGCTGCACAATAAACAGAAAAGTAAAAATATGTGTTCGATATGATCCACAAAGCAGGTCACAGGATGGAAGAGGAGAGATCAGAGTTTGTTCTTAAAGAGGCTTAATATAAATGGAAGATATTAATCTCCTAGACACAGCTTCAAACATGTCCATTTCACAGCCTTCTCTTAATTTACAAATACTTTCTTTACCCTAATAATTCTTTTCTTTTTTAAAATGTATTTAGTACAGGGTCTCACTACTAGATCGGACTCATAGTGATCCTCCTGTTTTCAGCCTTCCAAGAGCTGGAATTACAGCTGCATGCCACCACCCCCGGTCTCAATCGCTGTCTCAGCACACCCCAGGGGTGGGACCAGTACAGCACACTGGGGATGGAACCTAGGTCCCTGTTTCTGCCTAAGCCGGTGCTTTACTCCACTGAGCTATCTAACAAACCCTACCCTAATAATTTCAATAACACAAGATAAAAATGCGAACACCACCCATAGCTCCCTAATACAGCCAAAGTAGGGTTCAACTCTGGAGAGCAGTGGACTCTCCCACTCTGCAGTTGCGTCTTCCCAGGGTTTTACTTCACTGCTGGGGACACAGTGGCAGTTGGGGCTTGTCTGGCCTCTGCACACCAGAAATTCGCAGCCTGGTGGGGGAAAGCAACAGCGAAGAGGGGTCTTGGATGTGGAGCTCTGACCTGCCCCAAGGAAACCAACCTGCCCACTTATGTGTAGTCCCTGGATGCTCTCAACTGCCAGCAAGGGGGAATGTGATTCTAAAGGAGGCCAGGGAAGTAAGTTTAAAAAGTTTCAATTCCCTGCATGACTATGCTAAGGATTTTAAAATCTCTTAAAGGTGAGAATCTGCTTGAATGTAAGAAAGCATCCCTTGATCTGCTCTGGGTTTTGAAAAGACTGCTCAGGTTACTGTGTAAACTTCACACTTAGGAACATATGCCTCTGAAATATACTCGTTTCTTTTATTTCTTATTCAAACCTAGGAAATATAGATATCCTAGGCATTTCTCCCAAAGTGTACATAATTCTTAGAATAAACTCTTTTTTGTGTATGTGTGGTACCGGGGATTGAACTCAGGACCCTGCATTTGCCAGGCAACCACTTATTCTACTGAGCTATCTCCCCGGCCCTAGAATAAGCACTTAATGCTTATTGTTTACATACATATTGGAAATGAAGGAATATTCTGTATTGAGATTCCTATGTGGGCTGGATATTCCTAATAATAAATTTCTCTGGAGGTTTGTATTGTGTATGCTATTGTTCATAATACAATACAGTAGTCATTAGTAACTTCAAAGACATCTTTCTTGGTAATTCATCAATTTGTGTTGACCTTTACTGACTCTTGTCTGCTTCAACTCTTTGGTCTATTGTCACAGCCTGTGTGTGATTAGGGCCAATTCCTAATTTTCATAGTTTTAATTCAAATTAAAATGGATGGTATGGGGCCAGGAAGCTACCTCAGCGGCATCAGGGCCTGCCTAGCAAGCACAAGGTTCTGAGTTTGATCCCTGGCACCAAAAAACAAAACAAAACGGATGGTAGTATATTTTAGGGCTGACACCCTTATGGAATAGTGGCTGAAAGGGAGTTTTTGGAACAGGTCATTTACTGTCTTTGAGAGGAGTATGTTGTTTGAGTCTTGAAAACTACAATTTCTTTTTTGAAATAGGGCAGTTCAAGCTGGGGATATAGCTCAGTGTCACAGTGCCTGCCTGGCAAGCTCAAAGCCTGGGTTTAAGTTCTGGCACCAAATAAAGTCAAATAAAATAAAACAGCACACATAGTGGTTGGCACATAGTAAGTGCTCAGTAGTGTAAGCCACCAAGACCATCCTGCACCGCTTCCTCGGCATCATCAGTGGCCCGGTGCCAAGTTGCGCATCCCTCAACCCTTGCATATTCAAATCTCAAGTTTCTCATATAAAATAACACAATATTTTCATGCAACCTTAGGCTTCAAAGCGTTTCTAGTTTAATATAATATCTAGTGTAATATAAATTCTGTGTTATGCAAGATTGTTTCAGGAATAATAACAAGAAAAAAGCCTGTGTCTATTCAGTACAGGTAAATATTTTTTTCAAATAATTGCTGATTGATGGTTGGTTGAATCCATGGAGAGGGAAGCTGCAGATATGGAAGGGTTGACCGTTGACCATCCCGTTAAATGCGCACACTAGAGTAGAACATGAGATTCCTATTTAAATATCACCAATGCTGGGGAGATAGCTCCGTAGAATAAGTGCTTGCTTCCTGAGTTCAATCCTTGGTACTATACATACATACATACATACATACATACATACATACCACTAAGGAGAAGGTTAAAACAATACCAAACAAGACCTTGATTTTCATCTTCCTGCATCTGATCAGGCTTTACTGATATTGGAAGAAAGGAGCACTAATGTCATTAGGATTATGGACAGGCAGTGATGTTTACCAGCCAGATGAAAGCAAGTCCCTGGGCCAGCCTAGAGTGCTTCCTCTTCATTTAAACTTCAGCTGTCACCTGTGGTTTCATTTGTCTATCACAGGGGGCTGAGGTTAGTCTGAGTTTGCCAGCTGAGGTGCGTTAACTGAAGCTGTGGTGTTCAACACCAGACTCTAAGTTGCAGAAGTTACTTTTGCACTGTAGCCCTTTCCCCACCAATGGTCGCATCCCGCAAAAGCTCTTCAGTGCGTGAGAATAACAGCCTGCCACAGATTCCACGAGGCCTTGTGGCTGTTGGAATTAATTATCTGTTCTCTGTCGTAGATTTTTTTTTTTTTAGACTTCACACAAGGACCTGTATTATTTTCTTCATCAGTTTGGGCATCAGATACAGGGAGGTTACACTCAGGAGTATCTTGCAATATTTAGATTTTTTTTTTCATTTTCAGCATGATATTTCTAAATATATATAT